AAGCCAAGCTTCTTAAAAAAAAAAAAAAAAAAAAAAAAAAAAGATGAAGAAGAAAGAAAGAAAACAAAAGAAAAAAACTTCAATGAGTGAAAGCAACTCATTGTTGGGCCATAATCCTTCTTTGATGAATCTCTCACATTTCTGCATGTATTGCTAGCAAGGCACTGAATGCTCTTTGTCCTGGATTTTCTTTTTAAGGGCGCTTATACAGCAAACACCCCCGGAAGACAGTCTCTCCAGAGTGACGACTGGCATGCTTACTGCTCATTATAAAATAACGGGGATCCACGGTTTATGGTTTCTCTCTTAGAACCCAATGAATGCAGAGATGTCATGGTTTTGCCCTCTGAGAATTAGAGCCAGGAAACCAAAGAAAAAAAATGCTGATAGTCTGGCTAGTGCTATTACTAGAATAATAGACTTTCCATTGTCCCTAACCCAGGAGTCTAGTGAGTTACACGAGTATCCGGGAAACTGTGTGCAGCAAGCTTAGCTTGCAAAGTTTGGGTAAAGTTTCCGACCCTTCACATTTCCTGGCACTCATCAACCCCACGCTCTCTTCCTTCAGGGAAGGAAGGGTGTGGACAGCATTCTTTAGCACCCCTATCTAAATGAATTCATGCATGTAAGTAAATACAGGTATGTTATATATTTAGTACATATATTTAGTCATATATATATAACTAAAATTAATATAGTTAACAATACTGTGTTACATATTTGAAAGTTGCTAAGAGAGTAAATCTGGAATGTTCTCATCACACACACAAATTTTTTTTGGCATTATGTAAAGTGACAGATGTTTACCAGACATTGTGGTGATCACTTCACAATGTTCCCAAATACTGGATCATTACATTGTACAAGCTGAAACTAATACATTGTATGTCAACTGTACCTCAGAAAAAAGAAATAAATTTTTAAAAATGACCGAATTAAGGGGTGAATTCTGATTTATTTTTAGGATCCCTCAAAACTTCATCATAGTCACCTATAAGAAATGTCACCATGCCCAAGAAAAATAATAGTTAAATCACTAGTATCTACATCTCTGGGGGTTGGGGAGCCCTCAAGGAGCCAGACACTGTGGTCAGCACCTCCGCTGGTTTTCTTAGCTTGGCAACTAGTGAACTTGGATGGGAAAAATATCTACATTCTCAAAATCTCTAACCTTGAACTGAAATGTGGCATACCCTTCCCGTAAGAATGTAGGAAACAAACTATGGTCCGAAGTTCCTGTGGTTCTGTCACCAAGGAAAATCACTGACATTTTCTCATTGAGGAGGGCAACACAGGCAAGAGAGATGTAGCTTAAATTAATGAATTAATCTCCTTATAACCCGCAGCACACGGATTCAAAAATCCTGAGACACGCAGCACCCGACAGTCCTCAAGGAACTCACGGCTGCCTTAATGCGCACGTGTTATAAACAACCTAAAGCTCCCTTAACAATAGCCAGACCTCCAGGGTCCTGGGCACCCTGCTCTCAGCACCCAGAAATTCCTGAAACTTCCCTTAGCTCTACCTTCCCTCCCTCTACAAACTTAAACGCGTCTCATAGTCCCTCCCACAATCACAGCTGCAGCTCTTCCTGCCCACGGTCCCGACCCTATGCTGTCATAGAAACACTTTTTGGCACCCAAAACGTCCCAAGAATTCTTTCCTGGCCCTTCGCCCCGGACCCCCGTTCAGAGCACGTCAACATCTCGTACTCACTGTTTCGACGTGACGCGTCCTGAGATGGGTCTTGTCGTTGAGGAGACAGTGCGTTCACGCCGTGTCACTTGTTATTTCACTCGTTCGGGAACTGCTGTGTCGCTCGACTGGCTCTTTCGTCCTTCTAGGGGTTTCGTACTGCTCTTTAGAAGCAGTCGCGAGAAGGGCTCCCCGCGCCGCTTCAGGAGGCCAGAGGGCCTCGGGGAAGCTAACAAAGGCAGAGGCCGCGCACCGAGACCCTGCGGGTTCCGACCACCCCTTGCGGAAGGGGACTTGGGGTGAGCACCTGGGAGCCCGCGCCTGAGCAAGGTTGTGCGGGGTCCGAGCAGTGATAAGGGCAGGAGCCTCACGGCCCCAGCCTCCCTTTGCTCCCGGGTAGGGTCCACAGAGGCGGCCCACGGGCCTAGAAGGGCCGGAAGTGCTTCGCCGGACGCGCCCCGGGCGGATGCGGGCGGGCCCTCGGCGTTCACGGGGACGGCCCACGTGCAGCGGCCTACGCGGGCCGCTGGAGGCCTGGCGCGGGTGCTACGGAGATCCCTGTGATGCCTCTGCAGGACAGGACTTTTAGAGTGGGCAGTAAGGCTCTTGCGGGAGGCCCGGAGGCCAGCAAGGAGGAGGCCACGGCCGGCTGTGGGGAAGGCCAGAGGCCCGTCCTGGCAGCGTCCGCCAGAAGCTGGATCCTACCAGGCAGGCCCAAGATGGCGGCGCCACGACCGGAAACCCCTGGGCAAGGGAGGAGGGAAAAAGCGGGAAACCCTGCTTCCCGCCCCAAGTGATGAACACTCCGCCCCCTAGTTAAGTCTGTAAAAGAAACACAACCCCTAGGTTGCACAGCTTGCGCGCGCGCTCGCTCTTTTTCTCTTTTTGTCTCTCTCGAGCTGTGTGCTCTCAAGTCTGGAGATTGTACTTTTTAATAAACTTTCCCACGTGTGTCGCTGGTCCGCTGTGCTGCGCATCTGTCCCTGAATTCCTTATCATGACGAGGCCGGGGGCCTCCCCAGCTCACCAGCCAACAGAACTAAGCGGGACAAGGGTGGATACAGGAAAAGAAGTTTCCCTCCCACGTCTTTCCAGCTCTTCCGGAAACCAATGCCTCAGTTTTAAGGGCCAGAAATTTAATTATGGAGCACTCTGGATCACTCAGTCTGTTTGGTATCAGACACCCAAATTCTCAAAATATTCATAAACCGGGATGTTAATTTATGAATTTACAGATGGGAATGTAAGTGCCAAGTGGACCGGAAAAGTGGGCAAGGAGGTTTATAGTGTAGTTTATTATTTCCTAATTTGCTCTTCCCCGCTTAGAAATATTTGTCTAAAAAACTAGCATCTTTGTACAGAAAAAATAAGCCTTTCTAGCTTTATGTTGCTAGAGAAATACTGCCTAAATTCCATATGACCACTTCCCCCTGGAATTTAGGGTCCTTTCAATACTCCCCTTCTTCACTGGAAATTATAACTGTTTAGCCACAGCATTATTATTTCTTGCATTTCATTGTTTCCTAATGGTACCTTGGGAAATTCTTTGATTTACTCAGAAACTAGATGGATTACATTTGAAATTTATACCACTGATCTTTCAACGATGAGGAATCTTCTAGGCCCTGGAGTTGTAGACCTGGGTCTTAATTTGGATTTTTCTATTCATTGTCTGATCTCAAAGCAAATTATTTAATCTCTCTTTGCCTCAGTTTCACTGAATGTAAAGTAAAATGGGAATAGTAATATTCAGCTCATAGGGTCGTGGAAATAAAATTATGCATGGAAATCATCGGACAGATACAGTGGCAAACAATGAGCACTTAAATACCTTATTGGGGCGCCTGGTTGGCTCAGTGGGTTAAAGCCTCTGCCTTCAGCTCAGGTCATGATCCCAGAGTCCTGGAATCGAGCCCCACATCAGGTTCTCTGCTCTGCAGGGAGCCTGCTTCCCCCTCTCACTGTCTGCCTGCCTCTCTACCTACTTGTGATCTCTGTCAAATAAATAAAATCTTAAAAAAAAAAAAAAAGAAATACCTTATTATTATTAAAAAAAAAAACCTACTAGAATTTGGTTATGCGTTTAAATCTTTTCTGATTCAACAATTTATTGAACATCTTCTATGCACCATATTCTCTTAACATCTTTGCAGATGTTTTTACCCTTATTAGAAGGCTTTCCTCCACTCCTTCCTTGCTTGACCAACTCCTGTTTTCATCTTGCTGCTTCAGTGTCAAAATGACCCAGGAAGTTCTCAGTAAAACCCCTTTATGCTCTGACATCAGGGGCAGGGCTCCTGCCGTTATTACCACAACACTAAGCACAGTACCCTGTGGTGACTTTATTGCATTTGACTTTGGACTTTGAGGACAGGGATGTTTTTCTCCGGTCCTGACCTGTTGCTTAGCAAAGAGAAAGCAGATATATGTTTGCGTTTACCAAAGAAAATGCAGTGGGAATAGTTAAACAGAGGGAAGGACAGTAATACAGCATGATAAAGTAGAATTTCTTGCAATTCAGTGTGACAGCCATCTAACCGGTCTTCCTCCTTCGACTCTTGCCCTCCCCTGACAGCCTATTGTCTACCCACCACCCTCAACACTTTGTGTTCTGTGTTGGAAACTCTTTACGGTATCCCATCACTTTCAGAGAAAATCACAGCTTGGAGCATCTTCCATTTCCTGGCCTCTAGCTATCTCTGCAATCATATCAGCTATCATCCTTATCCATCTTCTTTCCAATTCAGCCCCTTCCACTTCCTTGTTCTCCCTCAGTGAGCCAAATAGCCAAACACATGTTCACCTCCTGTCTGCTGGAGTGTTTTCCCCACATATTGACATCCCCTCCCTTATTTCATTAAGGGCTCTGCTCAAATATCTCATCATCGATGACTTCCCTAACCACCCTATCGAAATTGCACCCACTTTTAGTTGTTTATTTAAGGCCCCTCCTCCCATAAATTTGTGTATTTTCTACTTCTCTCCCCAGGCTCAACCAGAATATAAGCTTGGTGAAAGAAGAGACTTTGTTGCCCCCAGCACTTGGACAATTCCTAGCATTAAAAAGAGTAAAAATGGGAATAAAACTGTGTAGAAACAAAATTGTCTGCACATACACAACATACAGTTTACCTATGTAGAAAACCCAAAAGAACATACAGACATATTAATTAGTGAGAGTTTAGCAAGATTGCTGGATATAAACATCAGCTTTAGCTAAAAACGGAAAACGTAGTAACTAAAAATACACCATAAGAACAGCATCAAAAAGTATAAAGTCCCTAGGAAATATTAACAAAAGACATTTATGGAGAAAATTATAAAACTTTATTGAAAGACATTTAAAAAGGCTAAGTAAATGAAGAACTGTATCATGTTCATGGATTGGAAGACTCAACATTGTATTATTTAGTCTATAAATTCCGTACAAATCCAATAAAAATTCCAACATTTTTGTTTTGTTTTAGAACTTGTCAATCTAATTCTAAAAGTTGTACAGAAGAGCAAATGGCTAAGAAGAGCCAAGATACTCCCAAGGAAGAAAAATTTGGTGGTGATTTTTTTGGAGGTGGGATTTGTCCTGAGATATGAAGACCTGTTTCTAAAGTTGTAGTACTCAGGATTGTATGGTACGGCCACAAGGTTAGACAAATTGACTGAAAAGAAATAATCAACAGACCCACTCCCACAGAGACTTTACTTATGAAAGAGCTGGTGTTATAGATCAGTGGGAAAAGAATAAAGTATTCAGAGAATGGTGCTGGGGCAACAACTACTTATCCATATGGAAAAAATACTATATTGAACTTCTATCTCCTACTTTTCACAAAAATCAGTTCAGAGCAGACTAAAGACAAATGTGAAAAGCAAGACTATAAAAGGTTTACAATGCAGGAAAGAATATCTCTATGACTTTGGGTAGGAAATGATCCCCCTCCCACCAAGCTAATTTGTATTCAGCTTTATCAGATACTTTTCAAAACCAGTTATTTCCAGGAGGACAATCCATAACATTTTACAACTTTCAAACTCCCCTCCCCCAAAAGTCAACAGTCTTCTGTTGTGTTTGAAAAGGCGGGAGTTCTCAGAAGGGGTGGATATTTCACAAGAGGCATGGAAGATCTTTTCACAGGTCAACTCGGACACGGAAGAAAGGAACTAAAAACTCTAAGATCATCAATGCAATGATCTACAAACTACAAACAGGAATCTTGGCTCTTTGGAGCAACACCATCTTGGTGTTATCACCAGGAAGCCTGAGTACTGTTACCCAGCATGGGATTTTAGGGGAGCCAAGGCCACATCACAACTATGTCAGGAAGTCAAGTATATGCTGATGGCATCAGGAAAGAAGACATGAAGTTTTGCTTCTCTGTGCTGTAAGGCTTCTAAGCCAAAGTGGCTGACATGTGTGAATGTCAGAGAATCTCTCCTGGGAACCAAGAATAATCTTCAAAAACAAGGACAGAAAATCCCATCTTCCCCCATTTCAAGCCAGCTTCTGAGACATTCTATTAGTGGTATTTGCACTTTCCACAAAGGACAACAACAATGCATCTTGTATGCTAACAACGTTAAGTTTGGGGAAAAAAGAACAACACCCAAATTCTACATTTTTATAAAACTTGATTAAAGAAAAATAGTATTTCAAACAGTAGAGTCACTAGAAGTACAGACTATCAAAAAAGTACACTTCACTTGGCATCCCCACTGCCTTCTGCTTTCTGTGACTGGACTGTGGAAGCATCTAGGTTCTTTGCAGCGTTGTTCCCCTCCTTGCCACCATCTGCTTTCCCCTTTCTCCCTTTGGGTAGCTTCTCTCCTTTCTTTGCAGGGGCCTTTTTAGGCCGGGGTTCTGGTTTTGGAGGAGCCGGTTTAGCAGACAAGCGTGCCGATCTCCTCTGCGGCTCATCCTTCACCTTCCCTTTGTCACCTTTAGCATCTCCTTTGGCCTTTCTCTTGGGCATGGTGGCAGCAGCGCTGGGCAGGTGGCTTGGCCAGTCCAGGCAGGGGGGCGGTTTCTGTCTTCCTCACACTGCTCCTAGAAAGATTTCTTTAACAAACACAAAAAGTGTCAACCAAATGGGAAAGACTGACAAATTTAACTACATTAAAATTCAAATTTGGCTATATTAAAATGAATAATTTGTGTAAATCAAAGATAGTATGAAAAAGTAAAAAGATAAGTTTTAAGCAGGGCAAAGATATTCCTAACACACAGAACTGACAAAGGATTTGAATCCAGGATATATAAAGAATTTCTACAGACATATGAGAAAAGGACAAAAGGAAAATTTTGAAACAATGAGCAAAAGTGTAAACAAGTACTTCATAGATGTAGTATAAATGCTGAAGAAGCACATAAAGTATGCTCAACCTCATTAGTAGTATGAGAAATGCATACTAACACTTTACACCCATCAAATTGGTGGAAACTAAATGGACAAAATCAAGGGCTCAGCAGATGTACAACAATTAAAATGCTATACACTGCTGGGATGTGTGTTTCTGTGTGTATAAATTAGTGTATTAAATCTGAAAACATTCTGAAAGCAATTTTACTTCTGAGTGTTTCCCTAGAGGAATTTTTGAAGACATGCAGAGGAGATCCCTACAAGAATGCTTATGGTGACTCTGTAATTTCAAAACCCGACATCACCCACTGGCCTTCAATAAGAGAGTAAATACGTTTAGTGGCATCTCTGAAAGGGAATGCTATTCAGAAGCAGAAATGAACAGATGACAGTGACATGCAAAAACACGGATGAATCTTCAAGAACATACTGTTGGGCAAAAATGACAGGTTGCAAGATATGTGTAGTACAGATCCATTTCCAAGTACAAAAGTAAATGACACGTTTAGGCTATAAGCATGTAGTAAAACTGGAAAAAAAAACCCACAAACAAACAAGGGATAAAGATAAAAATTGGGACAGTAGTCACATCAAAGGGGGTTGAGAAAGGGATGGTGGTTGGAGAGAGGAAGAGGGTCCAGAGAAAGGGGTGGAGGTAAAATCTCTCCCTTGAACAGAGGTGGGTAGGGAGGACGACATGGCTGGTGTACTATTCTCGAGATCCTACACAGAGACATTTTATGTATCTGCCCAAGAATTAATAAAAACTACATTTAAAAAGTATGTAGCCCAAAGGACAGGTTCAGGGATACACGAAATGGAAAGTGATTTATTTTTAGTCTGGGTCATTAGGACCTGGGCCGATGGCTGGCACCCACAAGCACTGTGTGAAGTTTTTTAAAGCTTTAAGCCAGGACTAGCTCCTCACACCTCTGCCCCACCCTCAAAAACATTCCCTGGGGATTTCTGTAACCTTATGCCCTGTCCCACTCTACAGTGTTTTACATGTTCCTTGGCTAACAAAAGTGAGCACCTACAAATGGTGCTAAAACATCAAATTTATTTTTCTCCCCATTTTTTTCACCATAACTAAAATTACCGGACATTCTGCATTTTTTTCTTTCCCTCATGTGCAATACAGGGAGAAACGTGTTCGTATAAAGAAGAAAGGAGAAGCAAAGTGCCTTGAATCAGTCAGTATTTTTTCCTTGGTAACCTTGTAAGAAACTTTGGGGACAGAGCGAAATTGAGAGGAGAAACATTTACATTCTCATGCTGAAAGCGACTCACTGAAAAGCAAATGTGAAATTAGCTGGACCCTTCTCTTCCCTTACTGTGCTCTTCCCTTGCCTCTAAATATTCTAAATTCCTGAGGGCCAAAAAGTCCCTGTTGCCTCAGATGCACGCTTGCCATTCCGACCCGGGGACTCCGCCTGCTCTCTGCCGAGAACATGCTTCCCTAGACATTGAACGAATTTATGCCTAATTTATTCCCTTTCTTCTCTCTCCCAAAGGTATCACTAAAGAAATGTGTGAACAATCCTTACAGAACAAAAGGCTTTTTTTTTTTTTAAGTCCAAATTCTGACACAGTAAAGAAAATAATTTTGAAGGAAAATAATTGAGAAAGACGCCACAGATCACATTGGTCAACTCTGGGTATGGTAAAGGTGTGTCCACAAAGGAACAGGTAGGAAAAGACAGCTGTTCTTAAAATGAGCAAACCAACATTGAGAGATATTTTATGGCACGAAAATCATCTGTCTAGTATTAGGGTGACGTGGTTTATACCTGTTGCCCTGGCATAATTTTTTATAATGCTCCCATTCACTCTCAAAGGTGTGCCAGCTTGAATAGAAAATGAAAATGTCACTCTAAACCTTCTGCATATATTTTTAGAGACCTTTCTGTTACCAGAGAATGAGAGAGAAAACCAAAGGGTGAGCTTTTGTTCTAGGACACACTTTCCTAAAGAATGGACACTCCATACCATTCTCCTTCCATCTCACTCCAAAACTGTGTTTCTTAGCCCAAGTCCTGGTGTGGGAATGCTCACAGTCTGTTTCCTGGGCTCAGTCTTCTTCATGTTAGATCCCTTGCAGTCCATCCCAAGCAGGGGGGCCATGATCTCCACATGTCAAAGGCCGAAACACAGCAGGTAACAATAAAGATAAATTCAAGGAAAACAGGCCACTGTCTGGATGCCGTATCTAAGTACACGAATATGGATTAGTTCCTTGAAACTCACCTTTAGGAAGCTTATCAGGATACCACCGGCTGACTCTCCAGAGACCTTACAAATTAGGAGACAGATACACAAATAAGGAAAAAGGGCCAGTGGGATAAAAGGCATTTCATTTCCGTGAAGGCCAAGGAGGGATGGGGAGGGCAGCGTTTTCACCATACAGTGGTAACTGAAAAGAAATTACTTGAGGTGGAGTACCGGGGACCTTTTAAGGACAATGAAACTGTTCTGTACGCACTATAATTGTAGATACATGACCTTATGCATTTAATAAAACTCAACTGTATACAAAGAGTGAAGCCTACAGTAAACAACGAATTCAGTTAAGAATAATGTGGAAACACTGGCTCATCAGTTGTAACAAATGTACCACACCAATGCAAGTTGTTATTAATAAGAGAAACTTCAAGAACAGTAGAAACTACTTTCTGCTTAACTTGTCTGAAAAACTAAAACTGCTCTTAAAAGAGTAAAGTCTCTGAAAAACTAAAACTGGTCTTAAAAAAATAAAGTCAACTAATTTGAAAAAAACATATTTTAAGAATTAAAAAAGGGGGAAATAATTTGTTAGACAATAAAATAGAGAAGTCACAGGACTACAAATATCCCATCATGCATGTGAGATAAAAGTAATATTATGAACGGGCAGATAAAACATATAAGTAATTGTATAACTTTGGGAACACAGAGATAGGACTTTCAATGCAATCGCCAGGGCAAGAAATTATCAAGACATGGCAACAATTTTTAAAGTTTTAGGAATTTAACAATTCCCCTTTGTTAAAATAACACTTCCAAGGACAAAATTATATTAACAGAGAACAGAACAAACAAAATAGTGAAAGCGTTGAATCATTCATCTTCGCATTGCAAAGAATCGGACTGAAATTCCTGGGAAAGTTCACAATTTAACTCTTCATTTAACCAGACTGCTTGTTCTCTAATGTGGAAAGCTTCTCTCCCTCAGCAGCCTCAGGGGAGAGGAACATCTGCTCCAGCCTTTTTTAAAGAATACTTTTGTTAGCTACGAAGACTTGCATATTTTCATTAGAAGCAGACCCACGAAGTTTAAATTAACTGGTAGAAGTAGCTTTAAAAACACAAAAGTCAAATAAAAAGCAAAGAGTTAGTTCAGCTGCAATAAAAATATGAAAATGATGAGTAAAATGAGGGGATGCAGGTGTGCTACAGTCTTCTGTGAGGTTAACTGCTGGGAAATCTCCAAATTCTGTCAATAATATATCTAATACGTCAATTTCAGTCCCCAGATGTGAGCTGAATTTGTGCCCCCACCCACCTACCCAAATTCATAGGCTGAAGTCCTAACCCCCAGGACCTCAGACTGTGAATGTATTTGGAGATGGGGACTTTAAAAAGGTAGTTAAGGAAAAATGGGGTCATATGGGTGGGTCCCAATCCCATATAAGAGTAGATGAGGACACAGACAATACAGAGGGGTAACAGTGCAAAGAGGTAGCAAGGTGACCATCTGTGAGCTAAGGAGAGAGGCCTCGGAAGAAACCAAAGTGCCACCATCTCGATGCTGGACTTCCAGCCTTCAGAACTGTGAGAAAATAAATTTCCGTGGCTCACCACACGCATTCTGTTGCGGCAGCCCTAGCGGACTACCACAGGAGGAAGGAGTGTAAAGACCTTAGGGACCTACAACACATCTCGGATCAGATTCATTTTGAGGTTTTGCATAGCTCTCAAAATCCTTTTCCCATATTTTTTTTCTCTTTCATTATAGGCCTGACTCCAGTATCCATGGAGAAAATCCTACCTCATCCCACATACCCCACCCCATTCCCAGCAAACGGGTACAAGGCACATTTCAGCAGCATCCTTTGGTTCCCTGGACTGTTACTGACACAGATATCTGGGAAATAGTTCTAACTTGGGTTCTAGTCTTGATCCCACCCCCAAAGTCAGAAGGCCACCTTCTTTGCTCTGTACCTTGGGGTTGCAGGGAAGACCTGGGAGAAGGCTGCTAACATCAAGCTTAGGAAAGAGAGGATAAAGGCTGTAACAAAATAAAAGATTTTAGGTAGGGTGCAGTGTGCCGCAGGAGCAAGAGCTCTCGTGGCATATCGGCCACAATTTAGAGCCCACTTGTTCTCCACCTTCCAAAGGAAGTTATCAGCCACGGTGGGCAGCCTGAGCTTCTGTTTGGCATTGAGGGAGACTGGGGGAGGAAAGGGTGGTAGAAAGAGGTGAGAAAGGGCAGAGTGTCTGAAACCCTAGGTCTCCTTCTGCATTTTGCCAGAAAACACCTAGTTGGAAGAGAAGCAGAGAGCCATAGACTTTCAATGAAACGGTCACTCATCTGCAACTGGTGGTCTTGGGGCACACTCCGTTTCCCAGCTACAGGACTCTGGCCCACTGACATCACAGAGGGATGGGAGAGGACAGATCTCCCAGCACCTCCCAGGCCCCTGAGACCCATGCGTCCTTTCAGGGCACCACATTAACTCACTTGTATTTCTGAGCGGTCGAGAAGAGACTTCAAATGAAAATGTCTCAGATACAACTCTAGGAGCACATACCAAAGCTAACTATTGTCTTGCTAACAAGGAAATTAACGAGATGGTAAAAGCAAGGGTTTTTCTGAGAAGGTATGACAATGGACGGGGGAGACGGAGCTGGGGAGAGAGAGGAAGAGAAACAAAACCACAGCTCATTAGGTAAAGATTATCCTTTCTTTTTTTCATGGCCATAAAAACACCATATTCATAGCAGTCATTCATTTTAGGGAACGTAGAGCAATGGGGCCTGAGAGACTTAGGCTTGGCTAAGCCCTAAAAGTACTAGTAATAGCAGCAGCAGGAACAAAAACAACGGAAGCAGGAGTAGTCTTAATAAAACATCCAAGACAACCCTCAGGATATACCCGAGGCTGTCAGGGAATATCCAGGCTTTTCTGCACCGGGAAAGCCCCTCATGGATGAAATGACCACGGAAGCAGGCCGTGTGTCAGCCAGAGGTCGCGGAGGCCACACACAGGGCTCAAGATCTGAATTTCAAGAGGGGATGCCTGGGGCTTTCCTCAAGCTTCGAGGCAACACGTGGAATCCACAGCTGGTCCGTTTCTTAACTTTGGGTTCGTTTTCTTTCTTTTGGCGGGGAGCGCACAGGGCCAAGTGGCGGAAGCCGCGGGCCTTGGGCGTCCGCCGGGTGGGCTCTCCCGAAGGCGAGGCCTCACGGAGCCAGGCAGCGGGAAGGGCGAGGCCGCGGCCAGGCCAGGCCGGCCCACCTGCCCGACCGCTCCCAGCCGCGGGCCGGTGCCAACGCCCCCAACTTCGCCCTGGCGTCTCTGCCGGGCCGCGGGCGCAGCTCCCGGAGACTGGCGCTCCCGGCCGCCAGCGGTACCGTTACTGTGGAGAGGCGGGGTGGGCGGGCGGCTGCGGCCCTCACCGCGACCGGGCCCGACCGCCCGAGGGTCCCCAGCACGCAGGGGGCGGCCGCCACTGTCGGGAGGCGCGCGCGGAAGCCTCCGCTGCTTACCCGAGTCCCGCGGCCGTCCGAGAGGCGCGGGCGCCCAGGTGCCGCCCGGGCCGCGCGGGTGCCCTCAGCTGGGGCAGGGCCGGCGCGGGCCGTGGGGCCGAGGGGAGACGCGCGCAGCGGGCCCTGCCGGGAACAGGAAGGTGGCGGGCGGCGAGGAACCGCTTCCGGGGCTGCAGGCTGCCGGCCGCCTCGCGTCGGAGCGGGGGAGAGCTGCTTCTCCCCTCGCGATACGTCAGGCCGCCGCCGGGGCAGCGGGACTCCGACCCACCTCGGGCGGTGCCGCTTCCGCACCGCGGCCCGGCCACAAGATAACAAAAGGCGGGGAACGTATTTATATATATATTTTTTAATGCGTAAGAAAAAATTTCAATTTGTTAAAAAAAAATAGAGTACCACTTGTTTCCGCCCGGTTTCGAACCGGGGACCTTTCGCGTGTGAGGCGAACGTGATAACCACTACACTACGGAAACACGGCAGTAAGACACGGCTCCAGAGCGCAGTTCTCCCTGCAGAACACGCCCTCCCGTCCTTGCAGATGAGTGTTTATATGCGTGTGCGTCCGTGCACCTCGAGCGCTCACACGAAGCACGCCACTGGACGCAGATCAAGCCCTTGCAGTGTACAAACCTAAAACCAAATCTTTAACCATTTATTCTGAAAATGACCAGTTGGAGGGAAACAATAGAGAGTCCTCAATCTTTATGAAACTCGATCGCAATGGGCATGCCCCGGCACCGTGCACATTCCGCGCGCACCCGGCTCGACAGGGAGTGACGACCCCAGCTGTGCTAAAAGCGTCGGCTTCTTGCTCGGGAGAACTTGGAGGTAAACCTCCCTTCGCCCCAATTTTCGGACTCCATAGACCTCCTCGGCGGTGTGCGCAGAGGAAAGGAGTAAAAGACATCACGCGCCCCGAGCCAGCCAGGAGTCGAACCTGGAATCTTCTGATCCGTAGTCAGACGCGTTATCCATTGCGCCACTGGCCCGCGCGGGAATGTGGGGGCGCCTGTCCGCCTTCGTGAGGACGCAGGCGCCGGCGAGTCCAGGCGAGGCGCGCTCGCGCTGGGGCCGAGCTCCCCGCTGCCAAGGCTGCGCGCCCGGCGGGTCCCCTGCAGCCGCCTGCTCGCGCCCCGGCGGCCGCGTCCTCTCTGCCCGCGCCCCCTGCATCCGCGCGTTCGCTCACCAGCTTGTGTTACCTGCCGTTCGAGGCGCTGGAAGCCGATCCGAGCAGAAAAGAGATATGATCCCTGCCTTCGCGAAGCTTACGACCATGAAGCATTCATTACCTAAGTAAAACAATCACGTTAAGCCCTTGAAGGAAAGCTGACAAACCGGGAAGGCTAGGGAAGCGGCATCAGCCCGCACGCACATGGATGCTCTCACGCGTTCGCTTTCTCAGCAAGCACAGAAGCATCTCTTCCGTGTGCGAAGTCGGCCTCCGTATTTCGGAGAAGTAATTGTTATCCCGTGCCTCGGGGAGCGCTGCGAACATGCTGAGGGCTGTTAACGGACCGAGTGAAACTGCCTGATATTGAGGACATACGCGATGAGTTTAGAAAATAGTTGTTTTCAGCTCATAAGATGTCAGCAGCCCTTTGGAAGATCATACATGTTGCTACTCTTTCTGCATAACATTAAAGTCTATCTACTTAGGAATTTCCCCCTGAACAGTAGAGCAGGGGACTTCTGACGAGGTGTTGTACTGTACCCCTAGGGCATTTTGGCGGCTATGAGCTGCCTCACAAAATAACTTTTAAATATAACGAAAAAAGATAAATACAGAAGATGTCAAAGGGCAATCAATTGTATTGGAATATGTTATTAAAATATTAAAATGTATGATATGGTAATACTTGTGCTCCTTTATTAATGCACTAAATGACAATATATAGCAGGAGGTCTAATAAATACTGTAATTTCAAAGCACTCATGAGCATAAATGGTAAAGCAATTTGTTAAC